AAGGAAGGAAGGAAGGAAGGAAGGAAGGAAGGAAGGAAGGAAGGAAGGAAGGAAGGACAAATGGATGGGCGGACAGAAGGATGGAAGAAAGGAGCACACAAATGAATGATCAGCAGCTGTAGGACTAAGTAAACACTTTTCAACGCATTTATCTGGCTCATTCAAGCAAACATGTGCCCCTATATTTCTCCAAGTGTCCAGCGAAAATAAGAGAGTTTTGACCCAAATGATCTAGGTAGGAGCTACAACTCTCTACAACTACTGTACCTATGTGGACTGCACTTTGGGATCTTCCAAGAAAGAGTTAGAGATTCGCAGGACAATTCCTAGGGCTTATTGCAAATGCAAAATCCCATCCAATGAATCTGAGTTTTCTACAATGTGTCCATGGCCTCATTGCACCAGCGTTCCATGATTCTGACCAAAGCTTTAATGGTTCTTCAGGAAAGCTTTAATTTAAATGCCTTGTAAGAAACAAGTTGAGGACCAAATTGTCATTCTTCTGCCTTTAACACCCCAAGAGCATTGGTTAAAATGGATCAGACACATCTAAGGAAACAGGGTCACCTATATTATGGGCTTTATGCCCCAAGAATATACAAATAATAAAGGAAGTCAGGTTTGTCAAATGCTGTAAGTAATTTCAAACATATAGTCCAAATATTTTTATAGTAGAAAAATAGTCCAAATAGCTATAGTGTTAAAGGAAGTGTGGTTTAGTGGATAGAACTGTGATTAGACAGTTACAGGTTCTACTCCTGCAAATATTTACTGGCAATGGGCACGTGGCCCACAAAAGCACTAATTATAGTAATAACAACACTTATTGGGCATGTACAGGAGTCAGTACTCTTCCATTTACTCATTCAATTAACCAGCAACCCTAGGGGGTAGGTGCAATGGCTTCCCTATTTTATAGATGGGTAAGTTGAGGCAGGATGTTAAGTAACATATGGAAGGTCCGACAGCTGGTCTGACTTGCAGGGCCCACCAAGCTCACCTCTCTCCCAGCCTCAAGGAGAGGAGTCCAGGCTCCATTCCTGCCTGGCCACTCAGCCTCCTCCTATCAGGCACTTTCCTTTCCCTCCCTTAATAATCTCCTCTCAAAGTGCTTTCAGGAATACGGCTCTGGCCTCCTCTGGGGAGTAAGATGCAGATGTCATTGCCAACCTACTGGGATACATGTCAAAACAGAGTATTAAAGGCCTGGAAAATGCCTGGTGCACAGTAGGTGCTCTTAGCTTGGCAGTTCCCTTCTGACAGCCACATAACCGCAGGTAACCTCCTCTTTCCACCCAGGGAGGTGTGTAAACCGCAGACTCCTTTGCAATGGGGACAATGACTGTGGCGACGGGTCAGATGAGGCCAACTGTAGGAAGATCTTTAAAAAGTGTCTGCATGAAATGGAGCAGTACTGGGCAATTGGCCATCTGGCCAGTGGGTAAGTTACTGAGTTTCTATTGTATAGATGGGAAGGTGCAGAATTAAATGTAATTCTAGAGAAGCTGATAGGAAAACAGTTGCTTCTTTCCTTCCTGGAAAAAGGCTGCAATGTAAGTGGGTGCCTGTGGCCGCTTTCTGAGGACAGTTCTGAGGGGCTCCAGGAACACTTCCCAGGGACGCACACGGGCCACAAGGAGGGCTAAGTCAGAATCCCCAGGGACAGAGTAGTGAGTGGAGACCACGGAGACCCCGGTGAGGCCTGGGGATACCTGCCACTGAACTCCTGCTGCGTGGCCGTGTGAGGTGCTTTCGAAGCCTTATCCTGGAACCCCATTGCCAAGTTGTGAAGGAGGTTTTATCTGTTCTATAACCCCGGGCCAGCACAGGGGCTGGCCCAGAGGAGAGGCCCTAAGTAGTTAGTGAGGGAATGGATTTTCCGGGTATGTCTGCAATCAATCCGTTTGAAGCTGCTGGGGATCTCTGAGCTGGTTGAATCCTCCAGCGAGGCCAGAGGAGCAAGGTCAAAAGGGACCAAAGTGGCCTGGTGTTTGCCCTACTTGCCTGCCAGGTTCTGCAGCTCCTCAGCCTGCAGGAGGGAAAGTGAAGGCCTCCCCTCATGTGCATTAAAAACTGCCATGTGTGACACAGTGTGGGGACAAGAGCAGTGACCCTGAATGGAATTCACCTTCCTAAACATAAATCAAAGCCCCATCTTTTGATACATGGGCTCCTCCCAATAACCCCATGAGGCAAGTGTTCTCCTTGTTCCCATTTTATAGTTGAGAGACTGAGGCGTAGAGAGGTTAGCAGCTGTGCCCGAGGTCATATAACTTGTAAATGGCAGAACAAGGATTTGACCCCAGGCTTCTGACTCCAGAGTTTGTATTTTGACTTATTACGCTAGATGGTCCTTCTAAGGCAACTGTAATAGTACAGAACAGTAAATGCATGAATGGGCCAAGTGCAAGGTCATATACGGGCCTCTTACCCAGCTTGGTGCAAGTGTCAGTGAGGGCTTCCCACAATAGGCAACAATAGAGCTCAATATCAAAAGATAAGAAAAAACAACAGTGAGTGGCTGGAAGGGCATTCTAGGCATAAGGAACAGCACTTACACCTAAGAGGAGTAAAGCAGATGGGAGGAAGAGGAGGCCTCCCCAAGTGGCTGGGATTAGGGTATGTGGTTGTGGTTGGGAGTGGCCAGAAATGAACCTGGGAAGCAGCTTTCTACCAGATATCAAGGGCCTTGAATGCCGTGCCAAGGAACTCTGCAGGCCCACCTATGGTTTAGTAGGTCTACCAGTTGAAATTGCACAACCTGCTGCTTACCCCTCCCTCCTCTTCTCCTTGCCTTCCCTGCAGGATTAATTTGTTCACAAACAGTTTTCAGGGCCCAGTTCTCGATCACAGGTATTACGACGGTGGGTGCTCCCCACATTACATACTGAACACGAGGTTTAGGAAGCCATACAACGTGGAAAGCTACACCCCGCAGGTATGTGACAGCCAGGAAGCCCCTGCAGGGCGGTGAGCACTCCGGGAGGAGCCCGCTGGCATGGCTTCACCGCCAGGCCTGCAGCTGCTGGGCTAGTTCATCTCTTTGAAAGTCAGCTCTTCATGTGTAAAATGGGTGGCTCCTTCCTCGGGACATGTGTCAAGGATGATATGCTGCATATAGTAACAGCAATAGTTGCAGTAGCAGTAATTGTACGAACAATAATATCCAAAGCTACCATGAAGACAGAAGTATAGCTTAGGATTTGGAGTCTCAAAAACTTGGTGGCTCTGCAGTTTGTCATCTGTGGAATCCTAAATGCTCCCAGCCTCCCTTTTCCTGTCTTTGTTGCTGTTAATCCTCAAAAAAGGATATTTTTTCCATTGGTTTTTGGAGACAGTGAAAGGGAGGGAGGGGAAGAGAGAGAGACAACACATTGATTGGTTGCCTCCTGCATGTGCCCTGACCGGTGCCAGGGATTAAACCTGCAGCCCAGATCTGTGCCCTGGAATGGGAAGCGAGCCCGCCACCCTCTGGTGCTTGGGCCGAGGCTCTAACCACAGAGCCACACTGGACAGGGCCCTTTTCCTGTCTTTAAATTGGGAGTTATAAAGGTTCTGCCCTGCAGGGAGAGGACTACTGAGATAACAAGTATAAATGCTCAGCAAACACAGTGTCTGGTTGGACGGCGCGTCCTCGGGAAATGCTAACTCAGGAAATGGGGTGACCAAGTCCTTCCTCGCTTGTTAGAAGCGGGCATCGCGCTAAGCATCTGAAGCTGTAAAATGCTCTGCCAAGAGAAGCCGGTTATGATTAACATACAGACCGAGAAGCAATCTCACAGGGAGCGGGTTTAGAACAGACTGGTACTGCGAGTCACGTACACTCAAGACCCAAGGCTGCACTGGGGTTCGCAGCCTGGCTCTGCCACCGGTCCCAGTTTTACTTCAGCCTCAGTTCCTTTTTCACTCCGGGCCTCCATTTCCTCATTTGTAAAGTGAGGGGGCTGGACGAGATAACCTCAATGGTGGCTTCAGCTCCTAAAGATGCAGTCCTGGCGGTCAGGCCACTAAGCCCCTCCTCTCCCCTTCCTTCCCCTTTTGTCCCTGCACATACTTTATTGGCAAAAAAAATGAGCCTGGGACAAACACTCTCTCCTCCATGAGGCCAGTGCCCTCCCCACAGCCTCTACGTTCAAGGGAAGATCTTAGAACAGCCATTTATCATCCAGGCTAAAGTAACTCCTCACCCTGGCAGGATATGCAGGGCTCTGAGGCAAAAGTAGGTTTACATTTGTTCATGCAGAAAACAATACAATAATTAAGAAATAACAATACAAGAATAAACTCTGTTCCACATACACCTGTAAGCCTACTTTGGCCCCACCCTGTATATCTCAGTCTCCTCTCTTCAGAGCCAGCCCTTCTGGAGCACGGCACCAGGTGCTATACTGTGTTTTACCCTATAAACTCAACCCTTGGAACGAGCCCAGTGGGAGGAATAAGTATTGTCTCCATTTTACACATGAAAACACTGACGCATGGAGAGGTGAAGTCGTCGGATGCCCAGGGTTACCCTGCTTGAAAATGACAGCGGCACATTTCACCTCCGGCAGCCTCATTCAAGGCCACACTCGGGGTCACTTCTGCTTTTCTTTAGTGGCAGCTGAGGTGCTGTGGGGCCACAAGCATCTAGAAGCTGATGGGCTGGGGATGGAAATGATTTGGGACTGGTCACTCCAGGGCCACCAAGGCAGTAACCTTGGCAGTTCCCCTGTGCATGGGATGAGCAGCCCTGGTTTTCAAGCAAATAGCTCTTCTGGGTTCAATCAAAGGCATTTTCCTGCCCCTGTCACTCCATCCCCACTGCATCACCTCTAATCAGACCCTTATTACCTGCCCTGCCATTCCTCTTACAGCCTCCTCATTGGCCTATCTCTCTGACCCTAAATTTGTCCCTACCACTCCAGCCACTATGTTGTCCTATAGTGATCTTCCTGAGGCCCGGCAACTTCTTCTGTTGGCTCCTCTTTGGATTAAGTCCAACTTCAGAGCCAGTCATCTCAGAAGCCCAAGCATTTTTATGCCAGCACATTCTCTCACAACACCTCTCTCTTCTCCTCAGTCTCGTATCTTATGATACAACCACACCAGAACCCCTTGCAGTTTTTAAATACATCCTGCCCTTCCCCACCTTCATGCCTTTGCCTTTGCCAAGTCCACAGCCCAAAATGTTCTCCTGCCTTTCTTCCATTGAAACCCAAACCAAGCATGTGCTTCTGAATATTACCCCACAGCACTGAACACATCTGTCGGGAGCCCTGTGGGTAGGGACAGAGTTGGCCCTGAGTTTCCTGTAACCAGAGCACCTAGTCCAGTGCCTGGCACATAGTAAGAGTACCGTGGGTGTTTGCTGACTTGTACTGAACTGATGGGAATCAGATGAAATAAGGATCATTTTCTTTTTACTTCCTTTAGACCCAAAGCAAATATGAATTTGCACTGACAGAATATGAATCATACTCAGATTTTGAACATAATGTCACAAAGGCAGAAGCCAGCCAGTTTAGTTTCAGCTTTGGTTTCACGCTACCTGGAATATTTGAACTTGGCCTTGACATGGCAAGTGATAACAACCAACGTTTTGTCAGCAAAACCAAACGATTCTCTCATACTGTAAGTACCCTTTCATTGCTCTTCAATTTCTATATATTCACCGGTGTGTCTATAGTTCACATGACTTACTAGTCCTAGCACCCAATTACATTTCTATTTTCTTGACAATCTTTTCACGCACACACAATAACATGGTCTTACGTTAACTTACTTTTTAGAAGGCCAAGCAGTGGTAGCCTTCTCAAACTAATTACTCCAATTTTCTAATAAGCTTTTTCCCTTGGTTTTCATTCATTTAAGATTGTAGCTTTGCCAGACCAGGTCGTCTCTGGAGACTTTGAAACCCAGCAGTTTGACTTCCATCTCAAACATTCAGCTGACATTCCTCTCCAGAAAGTCACCCAAGACCTCTTCGCTAACTTCTTGGGGGCAATCTGGTGGTGTTGACCTCACAGCACGCACCTGTTTCTCCTATAGTCTTTCTGCTCCTTGTCAGTCCCCTTCCTGGGTTCTAACATCCCCACCTGTTCTTTATTTAATTCGTCACAGCTTCCCTTCTTACTCTACAGCCAGCCTAGGTGACCCCTTCTACTCAGGTCCCTCCTCTAAAGGACAAGCCATGAGCCTTCATCAACTGCTTCCAGCCTTCCTGTTAAGCTCTGAGCAGTACCACCCACTCTTTGTTGCGTCAGGACCTTGCTGACACTCCAACACAAGTTCTCCCTCCTAAACTTTGTGTGTGACATAGCATTCTTCTTCTACTACTGTTCCAGCCTAAGAATTTCAGAATCATATTTGGTTCTCTCTTCCCTTCATTTCCACAGTTGTTGTCCACCAAATCCTTCCATATCACTCTTCAATATTTTTAAGTCTCTGATTCTTCCTCACCTAGCCCAGGCCCTTTCATCTCTTGCTCTGCCCTCCTGCAGGCTCTCCTGTCTTCCAACTTGCCCCTTCAAATGCCTGGGCTGCCAGAAAAATGTTTCTATGATGCTAATCTAACTATATCATCTGCTCCCTGTCGCCCATAAGGTAAAGGTCAAAGTCCATGACTTGATGGAAGAAGAGTAATCGGAGTGGGAAGTAAGGGGATGTGATGTTGGAGAGCAGATAACAGGCAGATTTGAGGAACCTTGGGTTCCAGAGTGAGAGACATGCATTTTCTTCTCGGAATCTTTTCATCATGGGTGTGACATGATAGAAAATTAATCTGAGAGGTACTTGGCAGAGAACCAAGACTAAAAGTCAATGACAATTTATACGAGAAGAAAGAAATGGTGAGGGCTCAGAAAGGCCTCTGCTGCTAAAATGCCAACCAGGAGAGAAAGAGTAGTAAACATGAATTGGACTGTAATTGTCTTTGTTTACTGTTCCTCACCTTCTAGGCTGTGAGCTGCTCGGCGGCAGAGGCTAGTTTTTAAAAATTTTTAGATTCAGGATGGCAGGTGCTCAAGACTGAAATATGGTGATGAAGGAGAGAACTGATTAAAAGGAACTTACCTTGTTAAGAGAGAAAACGAAGGGTACCATCCATCTACTCCCTCCTTTTCTTCTTCTCTCCCTCCCTCTCCACCGCTCTGATTCAAGCAGCTACTTCTAGCGTGCTTACATTGTGCTAGGCACTGAACTAGAGACCTGGGACCTAAAGACAAATATAGCATGATTCTTGCCTTCAAACTCACAGCCTAGTAGGAGGGATAAATGTGAATGTAGGTAACTTATTCTTAATTTTTTAATATCAGTTGTAATACAGAATGGTATAAGCTATGAAGGACATATAAGCAAAGTGCAATGCAACCCTGGAAAATAGAGCATTTGTGTAGGAAATTCAGAGTTGGAATCAAATAGGCTGCAACAGCTAAGCAAGCATTTAAAATGGAAGCAGGTGTGTGTCAGGCAAAAAAGGGAGGGAAGAGCATTTCTGGCAGAAGGAACAGAATGTGCAAAATCATATTATGAAATAGAATGGCAGGTCTGGGGAACCATGAGAAATTAGATGCGTGATGTATGGTGTGGGCGATGGAAAATAGTAAGGCAGGGAGAGGAATACTTGAAGGTTGTAGAAGCTGAAGCCAGAGAGGCTCTCCAGGGACAGATTGTGAAGTTCTGGTATTCAAAGCAAGGGAGGTGATTTTATTCTGGAGGCAACAGCCAACCAATGCATGGGTTTGTTTTAAGCCCAGAGGAACATTATAATAGTACTGTCAGAATGTAAGGATGTTGGTTCTAATTGGAGCATTGAAGGCAGGCTAGAAAAAGAAGAGACGCCAGTGGAGAAGCTTTTATAATAACCCAAGCAAGAGATGAAGCCTAAACTAAGAACAGTGCACCTAGTGACTGCTTGGGTTGGAAGGGTAGGGAGAAAGGAAGGGAGTCATGAGTCACTGGGGTAGGACTAGAATGGGTGGGAGCCAGGCAGGCAGCAGGTGAGGGGTCTGGGTGGTGGGCACACCCGGAGCTGGCATGGCTTTATAGAGCTGATCGGTCAAGCTGGCTGAAGTTTTAAGATTTGGGCAGAATGTACTTCACAGACACTTGCCACCGTTTCACCTTTTCCTCTGTGTCCACCACAGGGTAAGAACTGTCACCTTGGGTTGTATCAACACCTCCTGGATGTTCGCACTCCATGTAGCATTGCTGCCTTTCAGACAATCCCCCGCACCCAGCTTTTTCTGTAAAGGGCCAGATAGTAAATATTGTACGTTTTGTGGGGCCCTACGGGCTCTGTGGCCACTGCTCTATTCGGCCACTGCATGTGGCAGCAGCTTTGGACATAAACGCCCGGACATGGCTGCACTCCAATAACCCTTTATTTCCAAAGTCAGGCATGGAGTTGGTGTGCAGGCCGCGGCTTGTCGTCTCTGGCCACACACGACAACGTCTGGCCTTCTTACAGCACCGCTTTTACTCTTTCTTGAGCAGCTTTTCTGCAGAACAACATAAAGAACGTGCGTCCCCAGGTCAGCAAACCCTGCGTCCCATCAGAACTGCCTCCTGTGCCCGGCCGCCCTCTGCCCTGTCATGCCCGGCTACCTCCCCTTCTCATTCCTCATTGGCTCCTTGAAGGAGCTGAGCCAAGAGCCAGCTCTCCCAAGCTGACAAGGACATCGGAATGTTGAGGAGACACCAGGCCTTGTAGGAGAGGCCGTCACCCCTCCAGTATCCTAAAGGGGTCATAAGAGTGATGGCCTTGGCCCGAGAACATGGGATGGTATTTGTCAGGTCCACCTTCTCGCCGGGATGCCTGACGCCCCAGGTCTGCTTTCCCATGTTTCACGTAGAGCAGCCGGTTTCTGCACGCGCGCGCCGACCTGGAGGTGGCGCGCTACCGGCTGCGCTCCCGAAGGCTCATGATCCACCCCGAGTTCCTGCGGCGCGCCCGGCGGCTGCCCCTGGAGTACGCCTACGGCGAGTACCGGGACCTCTTCCGCGACTTCGGGACCCACTACATCACCGAGGCCGTGCTGGGGGGCGTCTACGAATACACGCTTGTCCTGAACCAGGAGGCCATGGAGAAAGCAGGTGCACGGCCCAGGGGACCCGGGCTTCCCCTGGGGCGCACATGAGCTCTGAGCGGTGATGGGGGGAGCGGCCGTTAGTTGCGGGGACATGAGCTCTAAGCTGTGCTCCTTGTTCCCCTCCTCCCTCCCTGGCTGTACTGTCACAGTTTCATTTGCAGATTCCTCCTCTGTATTTTAACTTGTTAATGTTGGTCCTCCGCCCAGCCCTCTGTCCCTGGCAGTCCAGTTTTCTTTTAAATCTATCTTTATTGATTTCAGAGAAAGGAAGGGAAAGGGAGAGAGAGAAACATCAATGATGAGAGAGTCATTGATCCGCTGCCTCCTGCACGCCCCGGACTGGGGATTCAGCCCGCAACCCAGGCATCTGCCCTGACCGGGAATGGAACTGCCATCTCCTGGATCATAGGTCATGCTCAACCGCTGAGCCACGCCAGCAGGGCAGTCCTCTTTTCTACTACTATTCTCTCTAGACAATAGCATCTAATCTTATGGCTTTAAATGCCTTCAACATGCAGATAATTCCCAATTTATATATCCATCCTGCATCTCTTCTTTGCAACCAAGAGCTTATATCAAAATGCCTCCTTGGGCCCTCGCCGGTTTGGCTGAGTGGTTAGGGCGTTGGCCTGCAGACTGAAGGGTCCTGGGTTGAATTCTGGCCAAGGGCGCATACGTTGGTTGCAGGCTAGATCCCCAGCCCCAGTCAGGGCACGTGCGGGAGGCAACCAATAGATGTGTCTCTCTCACATCAATGTTTCTCTCTCTCTCTCTCCCTCCCTCCCTCCCTTCCACTATCTCTGAAAAACAATGGAAAAAATATCCTCGGGTGAGGATTTAAAAAAAAAAATGCCTCCTTGATATCTCCAATGTCTAACAACCATCACAACTTTAACACGCCCCCAAAGAGAACATTTGCTTTCCATAGACATGCACATCTCAGACTGGTTCCATCGTCCAACCCGTGGCTCCAACTAAAGACCTAGGAGTTAACCTCAGTTATTTTACCTTCCTTTCAACCTATTAGCAAGTCCCATCAGCTCTAGCTCCAAATCACATTTTCTCTATCTTTATTGTTACCATCTTATGCTCGCCCCAGGACCAGTACTTCTCAAAATGTGAATGTGAGTTATTTGAGAATCTCGTAAGAGGCACGTTCTGAATGGGTCAGTTTCAGGTGAGACCCAGGGTTCCGCACTTCTGGCAAGCTTTGACGTGATGGCAGTGCTGCTCACCCATAAACCACACTTTAAACATCAAGGTTGCAGATCATCACCACAGCCTCCAAACTAACGTTCAACTCCCGTTCCTGCTCTGCAGCCCATTGTCACACAGATAGTACAGGTCTTTCCGAGTGTAATCAACTGCAAGTCTAAGATGTGATTCCTGCCTCCCAATCCGGTATTGATTCAAACAATGTGGCACTTGTCAGGTTAGGTGACCTGCCCCAGGTCACACAGCTGACAGTGGCAGAGCCAGGTCTTGGTTGTACGTCCAGTGTACTTGCTAGAGGCCACAGGGTACCTAATGTATGTTGTGGAGGCCTCAGTCTTGCCACGGTAGAGGGTCCCTTTCTCCAGACCAGCAGTTTCAAAAGTGCTTTTCATACCTCCTCAAATGGACTCTGTGATCAAATAAGTTGGGGAAGCATAATCGATCCCACTTTAGGAGTTTCTCGAGCATGCCACCATGCGATGACCTCTCCACCTCCTCTGATGCAACACAGGGCCACAGGAGCCCTTTTGCTTGTAAAACTCACCAGCACAAGAATTATAAGAGATATTGTCAAGGGATTCATGTTTCAAGGACCATGCTTTGGGGGATACTGATCTGCACCCACATTACTAGACAACTCGAGCACTCAAAATTCCTATTCTTGCTACTGGCCTCAAAGTGCTACAGAAAGGTGCTTACAGGTCACACCTGAGGCTTCAGCAAGCCCGGGGGGGGAGGAGGTCTTGGGAAGAATCAGAGCGGGATGAGTGGGAGATGATCCAAAAATTAAGAAGGAATAAGGAATGGGCCCCTTTGCCAGGTACGGTACCCGGCACTCTAGATGCATTGCCTCAGTCAATTGATGAGCTCTTTCTACTGCCTGGAAGGTTAGAGAAGGGAGGGTCAGGGGAAGGGAGGCTTTGCTGCAGCCTGTATTCACTGGGCCAGTCCCTGGATACCTGATAAGGAACCTCGTTTTTAGAAAAGGATTCTGAGCACATCCCCTCTCGGGCTGGGCTGGCGGCAAACACCCTCAGGGGCCATCAGGAGGCTGAAGAGGCAGCTGACTCTGGTCTCTTATGAGGCCTATATCCTGGCCCAGGAGCTATTTGCATTTCTTGTCATCAGGCTGGCCACCCATTTATTTGAACCCAAGTCCCTGTGTGACAAGTCCCCATGACACCCAGCAAGGGCTGGGCCTCTGGAATCATCCACAGGAAGAGGGACCGGGTGAATTACCTCTCGGTCATGAGCCTCTTTTCTTGCTTCTTTCAGATTATTCTCTGAAGGATGTTCATGCCTGTGCCAAAGCAGGCTTCAGAATCGGCGCTGCCTTCAAAGCAGTCTACCTCAAGCTTGGTGTGTCGATGGCCCTGTGCGAGGGAGTCCTGAGGGATATAAAAGGTGAGTGGCAGGGGCACGTGACTTCTATGCCTATCTTCTTTCCCTCTCTAGCTCCTCCAGGGCCTCGTCTTTCTTTAAGTTAAATACTGGCTATTCCAAGGCATTTCAATTAAAATAACAGCGATTCAGCTTGGTTGGTTGGGGTGGCGGTGCCCCGTATACCAAAAGGTTTCGAGTTGGATTCTGATCGATGTTTCTCTCTCTCTTTTCTCTCTCTCTCTCTCTCTCAAAATCAATAAAACATATCCTTGGGTGAGGATTTAAAATAATAAAAATAATAATTCATTCAATAAAAATTTACCTAGCCCCTACTACGTGCTGGGCATAAAGAATGAATAAGATCGTATGTCTATCCTCATGGTGCCCACATGAAGTAGGCAAACAAAGAACCAATGACAAGACAGTGATAGGCACCAAACCCAATTGGGGGCATCCGGGCAGCCTTCCTAAGGGAGGGGTCATTTGAATTGCCCCTGGAGGAGTAAAGTATCAAGGTTGTGTTGTAAGC